TGATCAAATGCTAGGGCTTGACAGCTGACTTATACAGTGCAGTGGTGTATGAAATAGGAACACATACAAGTTTGTTGGATGGGTCGTTGCCTTGGCTTTGTTTACTTTTTCCCTCCAGCTGGTGCTGATGTGGCATCAGTCCACTGCTTTTTCCAGCCTGTCAAAAATAACACCAGGTAAATGTCATATACTACATATAATAACCAGTACTATTTTAGTATCATTACTGTACTCTTAGTATTTATTAATATTTTGAATTAGTTTTTATTTGTAAATTTTCATTTAAATTTTTAAAGCAATTTTGTGGTTTAGTCTTCTGTTAGCCTCGTCCTTAGTCTTTGTTTTTTTTAAATGCCTATTTATTTATTTTTTTTCAGTTTGACTTTTTTCAGTACTTCAACTATAAACAAAAATGAGAAATGTTCCATTTGGACCTAAATGAAAGAAAATAACCGTATTTTTCTGTTCTAATTTATTTTTGTTAACTTTTCTCTCTTTTTTTTTTTTTTTTTAGCATTTTTAGTTTTAGTTAATGATAATAACACTGATCACAAGCACACAGATTAAGAGAGAGTTACTTACATTAATTTGCCAGTGAGCTGGTGGTTTCTGGGGCATTCCTGAACTCTGAAGAGTCTGCCATACATTACTGAACTCTCTCTCATTACTAGAGCCCTAGAGGAACACAAAGAAAAGTGTTCTAATGGATCATAGACAATCCCCAGAGAAGTAAGGCCTATTAACCTCACACAATACATACCTTGTGTTGGTTTTTCTGGCCGAGGGCTTTGTGAGGCGAGTTTGTGTTGCCCTGAGTGTCAGCCCTGAGATTAAAACTCTGTCTGCCATTCTGCTGCTGTCAATAGGAAATTCAACACCGTGAGATCTTCACATGGAACCACATACCTCCTTTTGCATTATTGAAGAGGAACCTGTTGGCACTTCACAGATTACTACTTAATAATTACACCTTAATATTAAGACCTAACAGATTTAGCACACAAGTACTAATGTTTGAGTTGTGGTGCTCATGCAAATCTGGTTCATATAATTTCCTGAACCTCCCTTCATTTTAAAATAATACATTTAACTCTGGATTACATATTCACCAGACGAATACTACTTGATTTATTCCAGTAACCTTCCTGTTATTATATATTTAGGTCAAAGACAAAAAAGGGTTTGAGCATCAAAACAATCAGAGTTTACTACAGCTTTGAATGTTTTTTTTTCTCCATACATTAATGTGTGTCTTGTTTAATTAGATTTCTCTGAGCAAAAAATAATGACTATCGTGTATTTTTATCATGATTCACTAAAGACAACCACTAAAATGTCAACAAAAAACAAAAAATCTTTTCAGGCATATTTAGAACCTCTATTTAAGGAGAATCAAAGTGCTGTCCCCAAAAATGAACTAATCTTAATTTTAAATCTATACCAGTCTTTGCTACTATCCTTAAAACCACTAGGTTTTATCCATTTGTCAACAAAATGTGCCATTTATCATTTCATCTCAATGGATGTGCAGCGCACCTGTGTTTGTGTATTTGGCATAACGTAAACTCTAGTGTGAAGGCGCACGACTCGCTGACGCTTTCTCTCACACACGCAAAGTGAGCGATAGCGAGAGAGTCTTACATAACATGCAGAATTGATGTAATACATGTAAATGATAATCTCGGTTTTATTTTCCTGTCAAATAACGGAGTTCCTTTGGAATTCTTCAGCTTTTAAGAAATGCCGGTTTTTCCGGTAGTGGGCGGAACTAATGTGCAAACGACAATCTCATTGGCTGGTGCTCATCTATAGTCCCTGTTTAGATTTCAGCAAATCAGTTCGAGCGAACGCACATAACCTGATTAATATTCATGAATCCAGAAGCTCGTTAATGCTTATATTGTTCTTATTAGTAGAATTTGTATAATCATATCTTATCAGTAGTATTGTTTTTTTTTTTTTTTTTTATGCCGGTTTTTCCGGTAGTGGGCGGAACTAATGTGCAAACGACAATCTCATTGGCTGGTGCTCATCTATAGTCCCTGTTTAGATTTCAGCAAATCAGTTCGAGCGAACGCACATAACCTGATTAATATTCATGAATCCAGAAGCTCGTTAATGCTTATATTGTTCTTATTAGTAGAATTTGTATAATCATATCTTATCAGTAGTATTGTTTTTTTTTTTTTTTTACAGGAACACTGAACGACCAAAAAAAGCACCAGCACCAGTCCTAAGTTCGTGGTTTATATATATATTTTTCTTTTTTTAAACAAAAAATTTACTAGCCAATGGCGATTCAATTGCCAAGGTGTCTGTAGAGGGTTGAAGGAGGATCTTTATGACCTATTTCTAGTGGGGTATCAGTAGAGTCATTGAGGGCCTGGTTATGAGGGATGAATGTGTGCCCATTACCTGCATTGGAATAAACGGTGAGCGTGGCGAGTGGTTAAGGCCGCCCAGCTGGCTCTTGTGTGTGAGATGGGATGAAGAAGAGGGCTGGGGTTTGACGATGGCAGTGAGTTTGTGACAGCCCAGCTCCTTTCTGCTGCCATGGCTCAGGTTGATTAAGGCACTGGGGGGCAGTCGATAGCCACGCCCAGGAGAGCACCTGCACACACACCAGATGCGTATAAAATACTGCCTAACAATTGATTTTAAAATCTAATTTATTCTGTGATGAATTTTCAGCATCATTACTCCAGTCTTCAGTGTCACATGATCCTTCAGACATCATTCTAATATGCTGATTTGGTGCTCAAGAAACATTTCTTATTATCATCAATGTTGGAAACAGTTGTGCTGCTAAATAATTTTGTGGAAACAGTGATACATTCTGAAAGCAACAGCAAACTTTTGTAACATTATAAATGTCTTTACTGTCACTTTTTAAACAATTTAATGTGTCCGTACGGAATAAAAATATCATTTCGAAATTTGTATCATCCACTGAGAAAAATAACTTCTGTACCTGACAGTGAGTCCTCCAGCAAACTCCTCATCAAAAAGCACTTCATACAGAACTTCAGCCTCACGTTCAGCTAAAGGAAACAGGGAAGACAAAGAATGAAGGACAAAACGAGATGAAGAAGGACGCCCAAGAGTTTGCATGGGTTTACACTTTTACCTCCTTTGATGCCAATGATGGTTCCGCGGAGGCCAAGAGGAACCGAGAAGCTTTCTCTCACATTGACAACACGGTCAAACAGATGATACTCTGCGTCAGGATCTGGAACAACACCGTGCTGCTGCTCCAAAGGCTGCACACACACACACACACACACACACACACATTTTCTCTCTCTCTCTGTGTCTATATGTATATAAATAAAATAAATGCATATAATATATAAACATTGACAAACACATACCCTGAAAAGCAGGTGGGGCTTTACAGTGACTCGTACTTTCTTGTTCATCTTCTTTGCCTGTGACCCACACATGATCAACACATCATCCACAGAAAGACAGGAACAAGTATTGTGATTGTTGAGGTTTGTATGTGATCACCACCTTCGATTTCTCCAGCTCCTCTTCAATCTTCTCCACAATGCCAGCATCCAGGATCTGGAGATCACATGAAGCTCGGGAGGAGGAACTGACTGGATGGTTTTTCAACCAGCCCTGGATCTCCTGGACCTTTTCAGCGCTATTTAAAGCATCACAATGATAAACAGTCACTATTATCAAGTCTGGCATACTGAAAATGTATTGCATTCGGAACAATGATTCATTATCGGTAATAAAGTAATATCACAAGAGGATTTGCATTCTACGTACTACTGCTCGTCTAAAACAGATTCAAAACACACCCATTCTCATCTTCTCCTGGCCAGATGTCATCTTCGTAAAAGACATCATCGTGACTGTTTCGAGCGACAAAGTCAAACAGCTCTGAAAATCTGAGAGACAAGGACAACATTTATTTTTAAATATTTGCAAAACCACAGGTACAACCACAAGCACACACACAACCTCCAATACACATACACACCTCTCTAAGTATTCAGCTAAAAGTTCCTCTACAGCAGCGGAGTAGAGCCACTCTTTCTCTGTTCTCTTGGTGTAGCCAGGAACTTCTTCATTCTTCTTGTTGAACTTGAGATTAAGGCCCACATTGGCTTTCTGCTCTCCATGAGGACTGTGCAGAGCGACATTTATTCAAAAGCCATCATTTTTAGGGAAATAGAAAGAATATTGTTCATTAAATAATTAAAGCCAAATCCTGTGGATGGACAATTATTAAAAGGATGGCATATACCAAAATAAATAAATACATAAATAAATACATATATATATATATATATATATATATATATTATTAACCAATAAATTGCCGATATTGAAATGCTATACAATATTGTCTGAATAAACTAAAAAAAAAAAAGAAAAAAGAAGCAATTCTGCAAGTGAATTTAGGCATCAAACATTATAAATGTGTAGTATGAAGAAAGGATACTCATTTTGAAATTTAACAGAATTATTAAATTACTAGTGTTTAAAAAGATGAACTGTAAGTGGTGGTCAGAAGATGGCAAAGGTAATCTAAATGTAAAACTAAGGGAAGTGACAATTAAATAACCAAAATCGCCCGACACCAGAATATATTTTTTTTTAAAAACTCCAATATCAGGCGATAACTGTTAAGATCCTGACATATTGTGTATTCCTATGAAATTTATAACAACTTTAGATGGATAACTAATCCTAAAAGTTCTTACATAAAACTGTTGCGGAGATAAACAGTGCTTTTAAATGAAAATATCAGCGACTAAATGTAAACTTTGGATCTATCATTGTTTAAAGGTCTGAATACTTCTGAAAGGCAATGTATTGAGAGTACATTAAAAACTGAAAAAAAAAATCAAATAAATCAAAGTGTGCATTTTTTATTCACTGACTTTTTCTTGGATCCTCTTCCGATGAAGATGCTACCAGAGAACCTTGAGACGAGGTAGCTGGTGATACCAAGGCGGGAGGCGAGCACATACCCAGGACCGTACTTCACAGAGTATTTCTGAACAAAAACAAAAGACTATTGGTAAAATCTGAAAACAAAAGCAGACCAAGGCCAAACGAACAGTGTGAAAAATAAATAGAAGAAAAACCAAAGTATACTGGGCACAGACTTCTTGACAGACTCTAGACTTACATGCTGGTTCTGTATTAAGGCATCAAGTTGAGGTTCACACGGTACGGAGAAGACCACTCTAACCCGTCCCTCATTGATGACATCACTAGAATCTTGCACCTAAGCAAACAGAAAAAATCCTACATAACTGGCATTTAACAAGAGCAGCTGGTCTGGAGAGCACCAAAACCAGTACATACATCTCCCATTGCGCCGTAATATGGGTTTGCAACCATAAAGACAATGGTTCCTGGGGGAAACAGCTCCTCCAGTGTCTTGAAGCGTGCCAATGATGAATCAAAGGCTTTGATATCCTGAAGTGAAAAAACAACATACTTAAAACATCCGAACAACTTGTACATTTTTCCCAAGAAGCAGGTTCTGGTTCTTGGTTAGAATTCCGGTTTAATTTTGGGCTGGTGCGAATATTTACCTTCACAATGGTCTGGTAGGGATAGGGCAGGACCTGTTTGGCAAACTGCTTTTCCAAATGGACATTTCCGTTTTGACCAATGACATACTTCCTGCCTGTCAGCAGCTGGGCGTATACCACCACATCCGTCTCATTGATCACAGTGCCTTTGCGCTTGCTAAAGCTGAAAAGCAGATAAAGTGATATTTTTCATATGGACACTTAACATGACAGAATTCAAAAATATGCAAAGCTTTCTACGACTCTGAACGTGCATAGCTAAGATTAAGGATAGCTATTGAAAAATTTGTTCATACTGTACAGATACCAGGGCTTATAGGCATGAATGGTGTAAATTGCTGCTGAACAAAAAGCACAGCGACCATTAAAACAAAAAATTCAAATACTGACACACTGAATTAAAGCTCACTCATGCAAGTCACGTATCAGCCAGATAAAAACATTGCAGCTTACGATTAGACAAGTGCCAATAACATGAATAAAAGGGCAGCATACTGCTCTGAGAGGCCTTGCACTTCTTTGACCCACTCCTTCTGCTCTTTATCAGTCAGATGGGTGACTTTAGCAGGCGGTGGAGTGTTACCCAGATACAACATCTGTGATCCTGATGGTTCGTCTAAAGAAAACCTGCAGAGTAGGAGTGAGACACTATTAACAGACTAAAAGAGAGAGTTTGAGTGAGCTACATGACTCTATATGACAGCAAATCACTTAGAAATATCAATATAACAAGCAAAGTTACTTTGTTTCTCCATCTGAAACAGCTACAACTCGAGCTTCCATCAAATGGGGCCAGTTCACGAACAAAGACTTTCCGAGAACCAGCGTTGCAACATCTTCCACCTGCAATGAAGAGAAACATATTACCATAAAACAACATACATTTAAAAGAAACCTTTTAAGTCCAAGTAAAAAAAAAAAAAGGAATAAATTGAATGGACCACAATATGTCAATATTGTCACTGCACCCAACCAATAGAATATAGAAAATAACTTGACTTTTTGTTGCCCTTTCGGGCTTGAACTGATGGTAAAACTAACGACATTATTAACTGTCTTGATATTTACTTTAAAAGCTGAAGCTCGCGATTATGGTAAGGGGCGTTACATTTCCGACGCGTGCTTGTGGTGTTCGGCCAATCACAATGCACTGGGTCAACTGGCCAATCAGAGCAGACTGCGCTTGTCAAAGGAGGGGGCACAAAATAATGATCTTTAAAATAGCATCATATGACCCCTTTAAATAAGGAGAAGAATAAATAGTCATTAATTAGAATTGATCTGTTTATTATAAAGTGCCAAGTGTAAAGGTAAATACAGAAATGTGACACCATATTAAATTGAAGGCAAGATATTATTAATATTAAATAATAATAATTAATTAGTAATATTAATTAGAATTTATCTTAATTATGTGCAAAGGTAAATAGAAATGTGACACCTTATTAAAATGAAGGTACAAAAATAAAACAAATAACTAGAAATTATAATAATTAAAATTATCTAACTATAAAGTGAAAAGTGTTAATGTAAACAAAAAAGTATAACACTATATTAAAATGACCGCATGATTTATTATTTATTTATGAATTATATTATTTATTACCATGTTAACATGTGAGCGGGTGAAATGTACTGTGGCATGCAGACTCAGGACATACCTGACATGGCAGTGGACGATGTTGGGGAAGAGTTGGGGGAGGGGGGAGTTGTAGGCATAGTCCAGCTCTTTATCAAAGCAGTTGATGGCACACTCGGTATGTCTGTTCCTAGCCTTCTCTGACGGAGCTAGTTTATGAGTGTAGGGCTCCATAGCAGCTAACAAGCATTTCTGAATGCAAACGCATATCATATCATGAAACTGCACTTCCATCACAGCTTTTATGGTGAGATACACAGTGAATGCAGATGTTTAAAGCACCTCGTCGATAAACGGGATGAGCACAACGGCTTCCCACTCCTGCTGCTTGCCGTTCAGGTCCGTTTTGAAGTCTTGTGGGTAACACTCAACAATGGGTGAGCCCGGTGACGTCATCAGATGCTGTGAAGAAGTCAGTAAATGAGGGCGAGTTTCTAACAAACAATGACATGGAGACACGAAGTGTGTGGCAATTGAATCGCCTTGGCTAGTAAATTTTGTGTTTACACGCCAGACTGAAATACTATACTTATATATATATAACCATGAGCTTAGGTCTGGTGCTGGTGCTTTTTTTGGTCATTCAGTGTTCCAGTAAAAAATTGAAGAAAAAAAAAACGAATAATAATACTGATAAGATATTATTATTATACGAATTCTACTAATAAGAACAATATAAAGCGCACCAAGGATTAACGAGCTTCTGGATTCATGAATATTAATCAGGTTGTGTGCGTTCGCTCGAACGGATTTGCTGAAATCTAAACAGGGACAATAATAGGTGAGCACCAGCCAATGAGATTGTCGTTTGCACATTAGTTCCGCCCACTACCGGAAAACCCAGCATTTCTTAAAAGCTGAAGAATTCCAAAGGAATTGACAGGAAAATAAAACAAAGAATATTGTAAACATGCATCACATCAATTCTGCATGTTATGTAAGACTCTCTCGCTATCGCTCACTTTGCGTGTGTGAGAGAAAGCGTCAGCGAGTCGTGCGCCTTCACACTAGAGTTTACGTTATGCCAAATACACAAACACAGGTGCGCTGCGCTTCCATTGAGATGAAATGATAAATGGCACAGATCGCTTGACGGAGAATGAAACTCTGAAGTGCTCAGTCAGTGTTCTGTGAGTGAAAATATATCTGTGCTAAACTTATACTCGGCCTCCAACTCACACACTGGCGAGTAAAATCTGAGAATTGATTAGCCATTGGCTAATATTAGACATCATTTAGTCGCCCAGAGTGAAGATTTAGTCGCATATGCGAGTGATTTACTCTCAGTGTAGAGGGTTATGTGTGTCACCTGGTAACACTGTGGAAGAAGGTCTTTGCTGGCTGAAGGCAGGACGCCCAAGAGCTGCTCGAACGGCATGAAGGGTTTGCCCAGATCAAATGTCAACGTGAGACTAGACACGTTTCTCACATCAGAAAGGAAGGGGGCATAGTGGTGCGGATAATACCTGTAGTGATTTGAGAGGAGAGCAAGATCCTTTGAAACCAACATTACATCAAAATCAAGCCAATTTACTTTCTTGTTCCTGCTACTTTTAAGTAGGACTGCATGATTAATTGTAATAAAGTATTTATTCATATTAATGTGCATTTAAGAACGCAAAATAGACCAATCAGCTTCCCATACTTGTAATAATAAGCACTTATCAACAAAAGCAGCAGGTTTCAGGGCTTAAGGGTGGTTTTCCATCATAACAAACGTTAGAAATTCAGACAGCCATAAACATTAGCATTGTCATTTTCCTGTTGTAATGTAAAATAAAATTATATCGTTCCTAAAAAAATATTTTAGTGAAATATAAAAACTACTAAAACAAATTATATATTTTAATATTAACAACAACAACTATTATTATTAACAAACAAACACAGCAAACCTGGATTTTGCTATTTTTAAACAGAACAAAAATATTTCCCAAATCATGCAGCCCTATTTTTAAGCATAATTTGCAAAAAAAAATAAAAATTCACTCCGTCTCTCAGCTTACCAGCTCCAAGACTGAACTCCATGGTAGTAGTAATGCAAGATCCACTGGATCCCCTCCACGTAACATCTAGCCTGATTGGCCAAAAACTCACTGCAAGATGATACAGAGAAAATTAATCTTCATAGAACTATTCATTTTCGGATGCAGAGAAAACATGCTCCCATCCTTTCCAAAATTCAAATGAATGGAGACTTACTCCGAGACGACTTCAACGCCCATCTTGGTCATGTAGTAGGTGCGCTTATACTGTCGAAACTCGGTTTCAAACATGTCATCATCCTCACCGTCCTCCCCTGCGCCTTCTAGTGCATTGTGAATAATATTAAGAGGCTGAATGCTTTAAAATGTGTGTTATTGTCTGGTTCCACTTGATTTTACAGTATGTGCACTTACTTTTTACTTGGATTTAATAAGGTAAGGTTCAGGGTTGGTACCCAGTTATTGTAGTAAGTACATAGTACATGCACAAGATTCTAAAATAAAGTGCTAGCCAATGTCTAGAACAATGATCAACAGTAATGGACTTGGGGTTTGGGTGTATGTACCTCTCCCTGGAGTGCTGTGAGAGTCCTTGACTCCATCAAGAGCGGCGAGACACAGAGAGTCGTCCGAAGACTGAAAAAATAAAAGGATCACTTAAAAAAATGACTCTTATTTATCTTTGTCTTGGACCATTCTTGTGTGAAAGGGAAAAAAAAGAATCCATAATTTTCACATTGATCTTTTCCATACAAGGAGTTCATCACAAGCTAAAAAAAAATCCGAAATATAAAAAGCACAATAAAAGTGGTCCATGAGCAAACAATGACTGAAATTTCAGTCTGTTCGTCACACAATGATATATAATAAAACCTAAAATATAGCACATTAGTTGTATGAGCTGCATTTATTCTGCTTTTTGAATACTGTTTTTGTATGGAAAAGAGAAAGATTCTTTTTAGTGATACATCGAAATTATTTAACCAAAAACACAAACTAAAGTTTTCAATGAGCCAAAAATGAAAAACTAAGTTTCAGTAATTAAATTTGGGTAATTAAACTCTTTATGCTGTTATGGGTGTCATGCTCACTCAGGTCATAGTAAAGTTCTTTAGCACTGAGCTGGTGAGTCCACACTGCTGACACGTTTACCTGTTGTAGCTAATCTAGGTTGTGAGCTTGAAACTGCTGCGGACACAGTCAAAATGCATAATCGGAGAAGCACTAATTAAAGGGGTAGCTCACCCAAAAATTTAAATTCGGTCATCATTTACTCACCCTGTTTTTTCAAACCTGTATGAGTTTGTTTCTTCTGTTAAGCACAAAAGACGACATTTTAAAGGGGTCATATGATGCGATTTCAAGTTTTCCTTTCTCTTTGGAGTGTTACAAGCTGTTTGTGAATAGATACGATCTCTAAAGTTGCAAAGACTAAAGTCTCAAACCCAAAGAGATATTCTTTATAAAAGTTAAGACTGGTCCACACCCTCCTAAAACACCTTGTTTAAACATGCCCCCACATGTCTACGTCACGGTGTGGGAAGATCTGCATAACGCCGCCCAAATGTTCACGCAAAGAAAGGGCGTAACTTTATTGTTGCTGCCACCGCTCGTCGCCATGTTGTGAAGACGCTGCGTGTTTTGTTGCGAAAGCGAACATACTTTGTTTGGCCTTCCAAAAGAGGACACGACTAGAAATCAGTGGTTAAAGGGATAGTTCACCCAAAAATGAAAATTTGATCTTTATCTGCTTACCCCCAGGGCATCCAAGATGTAGGTGACTTTGTTTCTTCAGTAGAACACAAATTATGATTTTTAAGTCCAGCCGTTGCAGTCTATCAGTCGTATAATGCATGGCAATGGTAACAATCTATGAGAGTAAAAATAACATGCACAGACAAATCCAAATTAAACCCTGCAGCTCGTGACAACACATTGATGTCCTAAGACACGAAATGATCGGTTTGTGCGAGAAACCGAACAGTTTTTGTATAATTATTTTTACCTCTAATACACCACTATGTCCAACTTCCTTGAGCACACGCACGGCTTTCGATGTCTTTTTATACTCATAGATTTTGTTACCATTTCCATGCATTATACGACTGATAGACTGCAACGGCTGGACTTAAAAATCATAATTTGTGTTTTACTGAAGAAACAAAGTCACCTACATCTTGGATGCCCTAGGGGCTGGGGGTAAGCAGATAAACATCAAATTTTCATTTTGGGGTGAACTATCCCTTTAAGTTGTATTTACAACACTGTTCCAGAACAGGTCAACCCAAATATTCAGATGTGTGCAGCGCATTTTATGGAGGACAGTTTCCTGATCCTGGGAGAGTAGACTACAATGCAGGCTGTTCTGACTCATAGACTGCAAGTACGTTTTCATATTTAAAGAATTAGTTTTTGTCTCGTAGCTCCGGCCGGGACACGCCATCACAGAATGGTAAGGGGCGTAACATTTCCGTCACACGCTTGAGGTATTCGGCCAATCACAACGCACTGGATAGCTGACCAATCAGAGCACACCTCACTTTTCAGAACGATGAGCTTTGTAAAAATCGACGCGTTTCAGAAAGGCGGGGCATAGAGGAGAAACAATAATGTACAGAATAATATGTAATATGCTTTTTTAACCTTAAACCGCATAAACACATTTACACCAAATACACAAAATAATGTTCTTTTTAGCAACATCATATGACCCCTTTAAAGAATGTTGGTAACCAGAGAGTTGATGGTAGCCATTGACTTGCAAATCAATGGAAGTCAATGGCTACCATCAACTGTTTGGTTACCAACACTCTTTAAAATATCTTCTTTTGTACTGAGCAGCAAATATAAATTCATACAGGTTTGGAATGAAATGAGGGTGAGCAAATTAATTTAAATTTTTGGGTGATATATCCCTTTAAACGACACTGTTTCAGTCAATGATTACGGCTGATTTTTTTTCAGTTGCCATAAATTTTGTGCATCACTAGTTCTTATTATTTTTTTATTAAAAAATAAATAATTTTAAAAAATGTAATTTCTTTTAAATATTTATTATAGAGCAGCTAGAGAACTACAGAACGCTCATTGCTCATTCATCAAAGCCCTATTCATGAAGAGACAAAAGAGGTGAAAGCAGGAACAGTGGCACATTCATTTAGAAAACAGGAACCTGGTAACTAAAACGTAAATTGACTCACATGAGACAATGGTGGCAGTACATGGTTACTTCTAACACCCCCTCTTCGAAACAAGCATAGTGCTCACGGTTTGTGATGATTTTAAATGCAAATAGGATAAATGCTTAGGTATATCATCCGTCTGGCTGCATTCTGCTAATATTCACCTTACTCTTCTTCATGTCTTTGGCACCAGCCTCCTCAGCTGCCAGCCCAGCTGCTTCGTTCAGGTATTTGTTCCCCACCTTACTCTCAAACCACTTCAGATCTACAAACACCTCGCTGAAGTGCTCCCGGTCAAACTGAAAACAGAGAAGAGAGTGATGGCATGGACTAAGAGCTGAATGGGGTGAATTGACCTCCTTGCAGTATATAATGTATCGGGAATCATAGTTTTCATTTAATGTTACAGGTGTTGTCAGTATTTGGTATCTCAGTCAGAGGTGACTGAGGATCTATCCGGTCAGGAATGCCGTAACAGTGTTTTTAGTCATTTAGCCCAGATCCAGAGAATAAATAAGTATTTGTTTTGTAATTAATGCATTTGATCATTATACAATAAAACTTAATCTAGAGTTCTATTTTTCAGTTTGACTTTTGTTCTTATCCATTTGTTCTTCTGTTCTGATGTTTTAACATTTTAAACGGACTTAATTTACCATTTTCTTAGTTTTCTATTTTGATATATTTTAAAACGTAATTTATTCCATGACAAAGCTGAATTTTCAGCAGCAATTACTTCAGTCTTCAGTGTCACATGATCTTTCAGAAATCATTCTAATATGCTGATTTGCTGCTCAAGAATAATTTCTTATCAATATCGATGTTAAACACCAGTTGTGCTGCTTAATGACTTTGTGCAAAACATAGTTGTTAAGTTTCAGTCATGGTTATACACTCTGATTTTTGTATACATGTAATATTTCTGTGCTATTTGCCTAGGGTTCTGAATGTAAGTTTGCATATAGTACACTGAGAGGAAGTAAGGACTCTTGTGGGGGTGAGACAGCTGCTTCCGGTATTGTTATGTTGTTGTAAACGGCTATGGTTGCAGTTGAACAAAGGGAGTTTTCCATTAAGTTTAAAACCGTTGTCTTTTGATCAGTAACAATAGTACACTTTTTTTTATTCTACATTCTTTTAAATCAAATCAAATCCAAACACTCACATCTGACAACTTCTCAAGGTACTTCTCAAAGTGGGCAAGGTTGAGATGACCATTTTCATTCAAGTAGCCTGATGGAGATGACAATAATCAGCACTATATCAGCATTACACCACCATCACAAAATTGCATGTGCTGTGATTTGCGGGTGGACTGACTCACCCCCCAGACTGGGCAGCACGCTGATGTAAGTTCGATAGAGCAGTGGCAGTGCATCGTGATTGATGTGCAGGTGAGGAAGATGAGGGATGAAGTCATTTCCCACCAGGAAACCCATCAGAACCCAGTCGTCTATGATCCGCTCCAGGTCGTACTCGAACGAGATCTTATTCTAATGGAAACAGATGAGTTTATGACCAGACTACAGGTCAGTATATTGTTTACAATAACTTTGTCCAGATTTGTGCCGATCACGCCATATGAGAGAGACATAATCTCACCCTGAGCTCTGAAAACTCATAGTCGATGTATTCCCTCATAAGGGAGAGGTGAAGCAGGTGAAAGGTCGTCTCCTCAGGAGCTGTTATCCTACAGACCAGAAAAACGCATTATAAAAGGAACACAAACTTTCAACTTGGCGCAATGAAAATAATGCCACACTTACCTCTTCTGTGACTTTTTGCCTCCGAAACGAACCTCCTCTCTGAGGAGAGAAAAATTAGGCTCATGGCTGGTCAAGCCAAGCATTATCTACAAAAAAGAGAGAAAGGAGGAGAAAGCATGCTTAAAATAAATACAAAAATAACTGGACTATGATAGGGATGAGCATCGATAGGTTTCAAAAACGAGTAATCAAGTATTCGGGGGCGGGGCATGTGCAGGGGGTGGGGCATGGAGATAATGAAAATATCTGAAGACCGTTATGAAAATGAATGTTAAAAATGAAAATATGATATGAAAACATGAACATATGATTAAAACACTGTTAGATTATAATTATGATGCAGCAATGTTATTAAAAAAAAAAAAAGAGTAGCTGCCTGTGGTGAAGCCTTTCTATGACACATCCTATGATATTAATCAGATAACTTGGATACATCATAACATTACAATTTGTATCCGCACAACAGGATGCAAATGCCAGTGTACTTTAAGTTATGCGCTACAGCGAGAGAGAGAGAGAGAGAGAGAGAGAGATAACTTGGATACATCATAACATTACAATTTGTATCCGCACAACAGGATGCAAATGCCAGTGTACTTTAAGTTATGCGCTACAGCGAGAGAGGGAGAGAGAGAGAGAGAGAGAGAGAGAGAGAGAGAGAGAGCGTGTGAGTGTGAGTGTGTGAGAGAGTTCCTTTCTTTCATGAAAGCGCGCTGAAACACGGGCAAGGAAAGCAGACAATTTACTATAGATTTCACATTCTATAAAGTTTTAATTATAATGCTACGTTTATGAAATGCAAGTGAACTTTAAGTTATGCGCGCTATAGCGAGAGAGAGCTCCCGCCGCGATGCGCTTTCATAACGGCGCGCTGAAACACGGGCAAGGAATTTACCATAGGCTAGATTTCTATAAAGTTTTCATTATGGGAAGAAGTTTTCATCAGGGGGAAGAAGTAATATTTTCTATACTATTCAATACTATATTTTCATCTACATTATCAAGTGATTCCTGAAATCGCCTGTGCATTTTTGAAGCCATATGAAGTACGAAAACAAATTTCATTGAAGTATGCCTACTGTTGAACAAAATATGAAGAAAAAAGCACTGCTGCATTATTATAACATCAGTATTTTAAAAAAAGAAACATCTAAAAGCAATATGACCGTCTCCAATAACTCCGTCAATATCGAGCACTGCATTTGAGCATGAAACTAAACACTGGTAATATGGAGTGCATTCAGTATGTTAATAAATGTTAATATCCCAACGCATCCTACATTAGATTAATCAGATATGTATGTAGCTAATCCAGACATCACTACGTGACTTCGAAGCCATGCTTCTCTCTCTTCTCATGTCTATAGCCTACTTTGGACCGCATGCAGGGTGCCACCCAATGTGCTGCTATAACCAATCAGAAAAAAAAACGTTTTCATGATCGATCGTCGCTGTCACGGCCGAGTACTCGATCGCTGTTGCACATCCCTAGACTCTGACCAAAATGTTTCTGTTATACACAACTGTACTCACCAGGTCGGCATCCAGACCATAAAGGCAGTGTCTTGTGTTTGGGCTATGACCCGGTTTGGTGGTCTCAGAACGGATAAACTCCATGATCTTGTGCTCTCCTTCACCAGGGGTCTGAGAAGAAACGGGAATCAGAAGAACTTCACAGAAACACACATGACACAAAGCTCTGAAGTCACGCAACTCACCTCATGACCAGACAAATACACATTCACTCCCTGCCATGCTTTGTCTGTGGACAGTTTATTGTGAACAAAATATTTAAGCTGTTCCTGTAGCCTGGCCATGAAATCCGTTCCTACAGAGGTCAAGAGAAACAGATAACTCAAAACATTCTACATCAGGATGTCAGAAAAAGTCGCATAAAAAACACCAGACAGTAACAACCATCCTATCCATGATTTAAAAACCAATGTAGACTTTTTAATTTGATGCCTTTAAAGTTCTTAGGTATCCTGCTATATACAATGATAGAACAATAATGATATACAACATCACTAGGTCAGAATAAAAGTAATAAAGGAGCACACAAACCAGGGGTGATGCAGTTAGAGTCAAATCTGGCCTCTGTGGGCAAAACTTCACCCTTCTCCAAGGCTTTCTTGATTTTCTCCTCAGCTTCTTTTGCTGACCTTTAAAACACAAAGAGCATAAAATAAAGTTAGTTCAGTGTTTTAAAAATTCATTTTCTTGATGCATTGTTTTGGTATGATTTGTAAACTTTTAAACGGCAATGGTATGTGTTGTGTTTATCTGTCCTAACACAGTCATTTGTACACTTATATCAATCTATAAAAAAAGCAGTGCAAAAAGAACCGTCTTAGTAAAAGACAAGAAATAACTTTTTAATAAATGACCTGTCAAAAAACATCAAATACAAATCCTTAAGCATTTCAAACTTCAGTCTAAATTCAATATATATATATATTTATTTATTATGTTCAGGTCTTCTGCTATACCTGAATCTTCTTCCACGTTGCTGGTTCATCTTGGCCCTGGGTGCAACCCCATCGACAGCCATGAAGAACACTTTCCTGGGCTTAATGATGCGAAAGAGCACCTCCAGGTAGTGAAAAATATCAGCAAATATCTTCTCTTCAGAAATACGGAAGTGTACGTCCTCATCATTGGGGTGGGAACACTGGTGGATGATCCCATTCATATCTAAATATAGGTTGTCAAACTCTGGGATCTGGGGTGAAAGAGAGAGCACAAGTTGGCTGGCGTAAACTTGACAAAATATGACTAATGTCTCTGAAGAAGAAAAAAAATCTCAGGGGCATTTTTTTAGTTAAAGAAATAAAAATACTCCGGACTGCAATACATATAAGCAGCTTTAAGATAAAGATATGAATAACAGGTCAATACAATGCAATTATACTGGTATCACATAAGCCTACTGTGTTCAGTCTAAATTAAACCCTTGAATCTAAAACGCATAAAACTGTTTTTGAGAATTGAAATAAAGCTGGAATAAAATATCATTTCTTGACGACAAACGTTGCCTTTGCAACTAAGTGAAACAAATCAGTTTATGTTGAAGTTCTAAAATGACTAAAACTGAAAAAAATCAAATATATATATATATATATATATAAATATAAACAAAATGATAAAAACGACAAAATTACTCAAATTTAAATAAAAACAAGCATTTACACATAACTGAATTATTATTGATTTGTTTATTTTTAACGCCATGTCAGCAGCAAGAACAAAGTGAGTAACAGCAGTCATAAAATTAAAGAGCCACATAAAACATTTCAGATCAATTCTAAAGCACATTCAGCTAAAAAAAAATACATCAGTCAAACATCTCTCTTAATAAAAACGTTGTCTTATTAATAATTAAAACAGTGCAGTCCAGTAAAATATATTTAACACTCATTGGAGCTTGACAAGGAAGGCATGATGGTGGTTCTTCACTCTTCAAAAAAATTATCTTGTGACTTTGTAAAAAAACAAACCTAGTGGGCTGCCAAGCTAGGGTGCAAATATGTGCTTCTTTAGTGGCGTTCCGAATAATAGTCAGAAATGTTGCTGATTGGGAACTTGAATCACCTGCTAACGTTACTGTTTGAGCTTGTGCTCCTCGTCCCAGCTGTCTGAATATTTATGATTGATAGCTCGTTTAAAATCGCCTGCGGTGCGTGAAGTGCTGTCTAAGAAGACCGCTCATTAGATTGAGTCATTATAGAAATGATGTCTTTAAAACATAAAGATAAAATCCCCCTCTATACATAACATATTCATGTGGAGGGAGAGTAAAACTAAGATTTTGGTGTCCGTTAAGTGTAAGGTTTGAGCTTCTGTTCACAGAGCTGTAAATGAGCTCTACGCGGCCTGTTATATTTAACGTTAGCCAAACTAGCTCACCTGATGCTCTTTGACAACTTCACTCAGACACGGATACCGCTCCGATATCCATCGATAAAATTTAGGCACTCCCATCTTCTCGTGTATGTCTTCAAATAACAATAAGGAAGAGAAACCTTATTCAGAAGCCAAAGTGAGCAGAATTTCATAGACTGATGTTGCTAGTCGGTTTTGTTTCTGTATGAGCCGTTACTGTCCAGCCAATAAAATGTCCGTGTGGAAACTCGCGTGATGTAACATCTTGCAATATCGTTCCGACACTCATAAAACGCGAGAAACATAATATTAAAGTAGACAAACGTCATAGAACTAGCAAGTTATGTAAGAGAAAATGTACAAGTATTTTCAAATTATGTCATTTCGATAACTATAAGAAAATATCCCAGAACTTTACGACCAGCACACTCTTCCGGCGGAAACAAAAGCTACCACTAGGGATGTGATGTAATGTGAAAAAAAAGAGGCAATTTGACACGACAACATTCCCACTTTCTTGGCCAAGATTAAGTGTAGTTCACCAGTAAATTCTGTAAATGTAACTTATCCTCTATAGTGCTTACCTGAGCCATTCATATATGAATAAATAGAAACATCAAAGCCCCTTGAATTTATTAAATACTCTTGTAAATCATTGAATATGAATGCTAGGCTATATGTAGTTGATATTCTTTCGTCCTTTTGTAGGACTTTTAGTAGACTAGTTTATATTGTTCTATCATATTGAATCTATAAACCGTATTATTAAGTTGGACTAGTTAGGTCCGTCTGCTATGAATCACAGACTCGGAGTCAAAAGATGATGATAAATGTGAATTTGTGTTACGCACAAAATAGTTATCACATAAATAGTGATATTTTTATGCATTAACTTTACTATTATAAATAATAATAATGCTAATTAATTATAACAATTATAATTATAATCATTATTAACAACATAATTAACAATACAGTAATAATAATTATTACATTAATTGGTTTATCTCTGAAAATAAACAACAGTTTATTTAATATATTATTATATAATTCATATTTTAATATATAACACTTATATAACAATATTATATTAAATAAAATGATTATGATAAATATTAAAAGATAAATATTATAATAAAAAGTGCGATGAATAATGACGGCGTAGACCTATTATGAGATAAGGAAAAGTTTTATTTGGTTATTTGCTGATTTTGGTCTTTTTGCATGAATTCACACACACAAAAATAATGCTAGTACTGGATACAAGAAAATCTTTTGGTATACAGATGCTTTCAAACATGTTATCAGCTGTTTTAGTGAGGTAAAATGTAATATATTACACATCAAAAACTAGTATGTCTAGCTGACATTACACACAAGAAAATGAATCAGATTGTGCTTTATATAAAAATTGTAGATTATCAGTGAGTAGCATAAAAAGACCACAACTACAGTAAAAAAAAATAAAAAAACATATAAAAGCTAAACTGCTTTTTGAAGGCACAGAAATTGTTGTTAAACTCTGTCCAAGAACATTCTGCAACAGTATGGTATGCATACAATACTACTAACACAATTGAAAAATTAAGCTTTCAAGATCATTTCAATCAAAAACATTTAAAATAATATAGCTGCAAGCAGCAATTAAGGGGCCAAGCACTCCAAAGGCAAAATGCGGAGCTAAGCATGGCATGGAGCATCGGGCCAACTGCAAAAATTAGTAATTAAAGCAAGTTTAGGATGATTTGAAGCAAAATTGCTGAAAAATCATAAACACAACTTCTCGTAATATGATTTAATGGCTTATCACTTATCAAATCGATGTGGTGTGTTCTGTGTGAGGTAACAATGGCACACACAAAGTTTGGTGTCAATAGCCTTGTCCAAATACCCACACTTGCAGTCTTTGCACTTGACTACTTATATGACGTATTTCCTGTATTTGAAAGTGAAAGTGAAGTGACATGTGGCCATGATGACCCATACTTGGAATTAGTGCTCTGCATTTAACCCATCCAAAGTGCACACACACAGCAGTGAACACACACACACCGTGAACACACACCCGGAGCAGTGGGCAGCCATTTTTGCTGCGGCGGAGAGCAGTTGGGGGTTCGGTGCCTTGCTCAGGGGCACCTCAGTCGTGGTATTGAAGGTGGGAGAGAGCGCTGTACATTCACTCCCCCCACCTACAATCCCTGCCGGTACGAGACTCGAACCCACAACCTTTTGGGTTACGAGTCCGACTCTCTAACCATTAGGCCACGACTTCCCTTGGCCCAAGTGTTCAAGTGAGGATGAAGACCACAAGTGTGTGTCGAACTTTTCATTACCTGATGGGACACACTTGTAGTGTTGTAAAAATGTTTACATAGAAAAGTGTTTACATAGCTTTATTTTAATTAAAATTTTAAATACTTTGCATTTTAAAATCAACTTCTAAATGTCTGTTCAGTAGTCTCTATAACATGACAATTTTAATGTGTGGTGCTTCTAATTAAGTGATAAAAAGCAGTTGCAAATGTTGTACAAAATAAATATCACCACTACTCATCTTTGCAACAATAAAACGTAAAAACACTGTTTTTCAACCAAATTATATGCAATATCTAATTATTATATTAATATTTAACTTGCATTGGAAAGGTTTCCCGTGACCTCTCGCGAGATCTCGGCAAAAAGTCTCACGATTTATTTCCAGAACATGATGCATGATGGGATACACTAAGCCTCGAATAGCGCTCCAGAGCGGTATTCAAGATAGTGTGGGTTTAGTGTGCTTTAAGGGCACTGCGCTCTGGCGTTTTTAAGACCTGGGACAGTCTTGCGCACTTACTTCCTGTCGCGCGCACGCGCTCTCAAGTGGCCAAGACCGCAAGTGTGGGTATTTGGACAAGGGGTCTATGTCAAAGCTTTGCAGAGATACAGCCTCAGACATGATCTGGCATTGTGCCTCAAATTTGTTGCAGCGCTATACAAAAACGGTTTTGTCTATCAACACTAAATCCATAATTTTTTGTCAGCACTGTCTGATGATGATCTGATTCGATTTTGCAGAAAATCAAACTAGCGGTCAAGGAGAAGTTAGAAAAAGTAGATTTTCAACATAAATCAAAATGGCAGACAGGAAGTTCGGCCCTCAATGGCATAATTGGTATCTATGTTGTCGGCATGACCCAAGGAATATTTTGAGACCAGTTTCATTACATTAGGCTAATGCAATCATAAATGATTAGCATTTTTGGAAATTTCATAATTAATGGTTAATGAATGGTTTATCACTCTTGACCAATAGGTAGCGCTGTTACCAAAATGATGTGACCTGGTCAGTGTGAGGTAACAATGGCACATACAAAGGTTGGTGTAAATATGTCAAAGCTTTGCAGAGATACAGCCTCAGATGCAGTTTGGCATCTTTCCAGCAAATTCGTTGATGCGCTAAACGAAAACCGTTTCATATATCGACACGAAATCCATTTCATACATCGAAACTTTCAGCCAGCTTGGTCTGAAGATAATCTGAGTAAAATTTGGTGAAAATCGGACAAACGGTCTAGGAGGAGTTCGAAAAAGTAGGTTTTCAACATGAATCAAAATGGCGGAAAGGAAGTTCAGCCAATTATGGCAAAATTTGTTTTCGATGTTCTCCGCATGATCCAAGGAATCTATCAAAACCAGTTTCATCAATATGCCAAAATGGCTGACATGGGAAAATTGTGTATCATTCGACTTGGCATGATGCACCTAATCTAAAGAGACCAGATTTGTGATTTTTGGCCAAACCATTCAGAAGTTATAAGCAAAAATATGCATTTTACATATCTCCTGACCACTAGGTGTCACAGCGCTGAAACACTGCAGGTAGTCTCTGGTCATGCTTGTTATAACACACACCAAGTTTGGTCTCAATACGCCAAACCGTTACGGAGATACAGCCTCAGATCCATTTTTGTGTGCTTTCCGTCGAATTTGTTCGCGCGTTATTCAAGAACGGTTTGACTAATCAACTTGAATGCCATAACTTTTTGCCAGCATGGTCTGAAGATGATCTGAGACCATTTTGGGGAGAATCAGACAAACCGTCTAAGACGAGTTTGAAAAAGTAAGTTTTTCAAACAATTTAACAGAGAAAAAACTAAACCTTACGATTTTTACATTTTGGACTTCATTCGACTCAGCATGAGCCAAGGATTCAGGGGAAACCTTTTCTGTTCTGTGCCTTACTGTTCAAAAGTTATTAGCATAAACATGAGTGAAACTTTGGACAAGTGGTGGCGCTAGAGAGTTTGAGTTAGAGACTCCAAATTTGCTATGGTGACTATTCTGACTGTCAGTGTGCCAAATTTCATAACTTTCCCACAATCGGTTCTATGGGCTGCCATAGACTCAAGAGTGAAGAAGAAGAAGAAGGCCAACAGATACAATAGGTGCCTACGCACCTTCTGTGATTTGTCCGTAATAATAATATAAAAAAAGATATATAATGATATTTACATTGGAACAATTTTATTACTGAACTTTCAAATCAGTCTAAGACTTTTGAAATCATGACAAAGAGTTGACTCTTCACAATAATGTGGTTGGGCAGGTTAGGTGATTGCTATGCCTTCAGCATTGGCACTTGAGAGACGTCCTTTTGACTCGGTTCATTCAATGGTACTTCAAGATGATGGGCTGGATAGTGAATAACTGAGCCTAAAACACCTAGAGAAAAGCCATAAATAACACATCTGATAATCAAGTGGTGGCGCTAGAGAGTTTGAGTTAGAGACTCCAAATTTGCTATGGTGACTATTCTGACTGTCAGTGTGCCAAATTTCATAACTTTCCCACAATCGGTTCTATGGGCTGCCATAGACTCAAGAGTGAAGAAGAAGAAGAAGGCCAACAGATACAATAGGTGCCTACGCACCTTCGGTGATTGGTCCGTAATAATAATATAAAAAAAGATATATAATGATATTTACATTGGAACAATTTTATTACTGAACTTTCAAATCAGTCTAAGACTTTTGAAATCATGACAAAGAGTTGACTCTTTACAATAATGTGGTTGGGCAGGTTAGGTGATTGCTATGCCTTCAGCATTGGCACTTGAGAGACGTCCTTTTGACTCGGTTCATTCAATGGTACTTCAAGATGATGGGCTGGATAGTGAATAACTGAGCCTAAAACACCTAGAGAAAAGCCATAAATAACACATCTGATAATCAACAGCATAAAAGCATGTGGATACACCTGTCTGGTATGACTAATTTTACACATCCTGGGCTAGTTCAGTGGTGTTGACCTTTTAAAAGAATAGCTCACCCAAAAATTAAAATTTGCTTTAAGATTACTCATCCTCAGGCCATCCAATATGCAGATCAGTTTGTTTCTTCATTGGAACAGATTATGAGACATTTAGCATTGCATCACTTGATCAACGGATGCTCTGCAGTGAATGGGTGCTGTAACAGAGTTCAAACTGCTGATAAAAACATCCACAACATGACTCGAGTGCATCAATTAACATGTTGTGAAGGGAAAATCTGAATGGTTTCTAATAAACGAATGCACCAATACATCATTTTAACTTCAAACCATTGCTTCAGGCCAAAATACGAGTCCTCAATTCATTACATAGCTTTCTGTAGTGAAAATGTAATCTTGTCTGAACCAGAAAATATGCACACATCAAGCACCATTTACAAGCAAAAATAGTACAAAACCATTCTAAACAAATTTATGGAGTATGGACTTGTTTTACAAACATGCAGCTTTTTACTGCACAAGTTGATAATTGATGGACTGGAGTCATGTGGATTACTTGTGGATTATTATCATGTTTTTATCAGCTGTTTGGACACTCATTCTGACGGCACCCATTCACTGCTGAGGATCCACTGGTGAGCAAGTGATGTAATGCTAAATTTCTCCAGATCTGTTCTGATGAAGAAACAAACTCATCTTGGATGGCCAGAGGGTGAGTAAATTTTTTGAGTGAACTGTTTCTTTGAGGAATGTACATAATAGCTTTTTAGAAACAGTATGAAACATCAAAAACCTTCTCTATGTTTGTTTTATTAATGTGTTGACAGTATATTGCTCATGAATTCTATTTACTTTCTGTAAGACCCACGAGAACAATTACTGAAGGACATTTTTGTTGCTGTAACCTTAAGCAAGGTTGACAGTAAAATTTTTGACTTTAATGTTACCACATAAAGCAAAACATTTTCACAATGTTTTTAATCACACTGTACCATTGTAATTTAAAGTGTGGCCAAAGTAGTTAAATATAAAGTGAATATACACCCTCATCACCATTTTCTAAACCAAGTTGTACTATTAATAGGCATGGCCTACAGATCGTCTGTGTCTGGGAACCTTAGATCACTGAGTGCCATCCAGTCCACAGAGACAACTGAAAAAACGTCAATACGTAATCCTCTGTCAGCCTTTATATTGCAGCAATTAAAGCATTTGGTAAACAATGTAAAATGTCTCACCTCCTGGCTGATGACCTGCATCGAGCAAAACAGGAAGAGCAAGACAAAGAAAGGAGAATGCGCTCTTGTTATCTATGACTGATCATTTCATTTTTTTATGCATTTAAAAATAAAACATTGGTAGTGGTTTGACTGGTATGCAGTGGTGTTTTCACAAATACACATGTGCCAGCACATGATTCCAGTCATATGCTCACCGTGTCGCTTGAAGATAAGGAGGCTCATAAAAACAAATCCGATGAAGAGAAAAGTGGCGAGAACTGGAACCATCACTCTTAACACACCAAGCCCTGAAAAACATTCAACAGATGATATAAACTCCAGATTCATAGCTATGAATCTTGTAGTCTTAAATATTATTCATAAAATGTTAAAAGTAGATACCCACAAAAGTGTAGTGTAAAAAAAAAAAAAAAGGAAGGTCATTGTGCCTTGTATTGCAACAACAATCAAACAACATATTTTAACAAGTGGGAAGTTGCATAAATAAATGATTCTAACAAATAATCGTCATAAGTTTTCACCTTCTTGATTCTGGGCATCATTTATCTGTTTAATGAATTCCTCACATTCTTCTTTCAGGTGGATTTTCTCTAGACTCGCATGCTCGGCCTTAAGTGTCCATGTCTGCTTTAGATCACGCGCCTCCGGCATCACTGTCCATGAATCACTGTCTGAATCTAAAGTCAGATAATCTTTGCCATTGAGCTGAAACCGGTCGGACAGCTGCAGGACTTGATATCCTCGCAGCTTACATTCCCTCAAACGTATATATGTGCCATAGCCTGAAAAATAAAGATGGATTTATTGTCACAGAGTGGCTGCATGACAATACGTGACAGACCAATATTTATCACAATAAATCAGATATTTTTTACTTAATCCAATAAATGGCACCCCTTGGTGGATCTCTAAAGAATAGCATCCAACAACAGCATTACACCACGGTATGCTCAACAGTAAAGTACATTTCATGCATTGTTCGCATGCATGCTCAAGCTCAAACATTGTGAATGTTTTACATTTTAAAGTAACAGTCATTCTATATAATTTACTTAACTTAACAGTAACCCAAAACAAGAAGGTATACTAAGATATACTAAAAACATAACTACTAAAAATAGGTTTTACATATTGGTTTAGCACATTTAAAAAAAAAAATCAGTATCGTAAAAAATATCACTGTTCCTTCTCTAATGCTAAACTTCATAAAGTGCTGCATTAAGATTCTTTACTTGCTGTTTCATGGTCATTCTCCACCATCATCTTCAGGACTTCATCTTGAATGGTTCTGACAACTGGTTGCTTGACAAACTGTCCCTTTAAATTTGCATCACTGACAAGGATCCTCTCCACGACTGTCCCGTTTGGCAAAACACTGCGCTCGAATTGAATAATAATGTCTAACAAAAACACATACGAGGGCTTTATCGCTTGACCATAATTAAAACAACAGATCATAATGGAGGAAAATATGAGCAATAGAACATCAATTCCTGGTTAGGAATGCTGAAGATGCTTGCTATAACAGGATAAAAGACTTACCCGTTGGAAGAGCCCAGGATAAATCTACAAGAAACGCGAAGGTTGCAAAGAGGAGCATTTCTGCACAACAGTTTGTTTTGAATCTTGACGCGCCCCTTTCGGTTTCTGTTTCTAGCATTCTCATTCACACTGCACAGTTGTTTTTTGAAAGACGACTTAAGTGTGCAAAATCCAGAGCCGGTGTAAAACCGTCGAGCGCAGTGTGCAGGTTTAGCTTAAACAGTGAGAGCACTTGCGTGTCATTGGCTGTTACCAGGAGAACCTGAGGAGGGAGAATGTCTTTAACATTTAAACACTGACCTGAAGTTGACATTTAACAGCTATAAAAACAAAAAAATGAATAGAAACTGCACTGGAGAGACTTTTTAGTAGCCCTCCCTATCCTTAAGACTATCAAAACAACAACTGAAGCAGAAAAAGTGTTTGAAAACCAGATAATTAGCCTATTATTATTTATTTGTACTGTATTTACAAATGAGATGCTGGGATTTTAATGGTATAAACTGGGATTTTGTGAATAGTGTATCAAAATAAGACTACAATGCACTGTATGTGCACATTTAAAGGGACACCCTTACCAAAAAGTAGTATACTTCAAGTTGATTTGAGTAAGTATACTTAAGTAAAGTAATACTTTAAGTATACTTTATGTAGTAAGTATACAAATATCAGTGTACTAGTAGTATACTTGTAAGTGTACTAATTCAATACTCCTTGGGACTAAATTGGCCCACTTTCTAGTATATAAAAGTATACTTTAAGTATAACAGTAGTAAACTTTGAGTACACAACTAGTTTACATCAAAATGTTTAGTTTGTACCGCAACTATACTAAAAGTGAACTTATAGATGTACTGATAGTTTACTAATTAAATACTTGTAGTAGTATTTTTAGTACACTTTGAAGTATAGTCTCAGTAAACTACTGCCCCTTGTCCAAATACCCACACTTGCGGTCTTGGCCACTTGAGAGCGCGTGCGCGCGACAGGAAGTAAGTGTGCAAGTCTGTCCCATGTCTTCAAAATGCCAAAGTGCAGTGCCCTTAATGGATACCAAATCTACACTATCTCGAATACCGCTCTAGAGCGCTATTCAAGGCTAAGTGTATCCCATCATGCATCATGTTCTGGAAATATCTAATAGTCTCTATCGCTATACTAATTTGTATATATTTTGTTACATGAATATCTGAACATACAAAACATCAAAAGAACAGAGTATCTGCTTGTAAACAAATACATTTTATTCTAGCGTCATGCATTCTTTTTTTAAACACTTGAATGTGGATACGTTTCAAAAATAAAGAAATAAACAACATTTTGAACAAAAAGCTGAAAAAAGACTATGATTTGGATTCAGAATGATAATCAAAACGTAGATAGAGTCGATCAACACCCCAAAGCTTGACAGTCAGGGTTACCTCTTCATTGGTCGACATTTTATTCCATAATGTTACACAGTTTTGATGCTGTTTTATGTCTGATGATTGTGCTAGATAACATGTGGAAGCATCTGTTGTTTCGGTTTCTTCTTCACTTGTGGTTTTTGGAAATTCTGTACAGAAGATGTGTACTAGCGCCCTCTACAGTATAACAATGAAAACACGGATTCTAGGAACACAAGTATAGCTCAAATATATTTAGACTTTTTCTAAGTATAAGTCAGGTATACTTAAATGTCATTTTAAGTATATTTCTGAGAAGTACATAAACCCCATTTCTGAGAAGTACATAAAAAGTAGACTAAAAGTATACTTTTCCATTTTTAGCTTAAAAGAAGTATACTAATAGCACACTTGAATAAACTTATTTTTCGTAAGGGCAGTCACCCAAAAATTACAATTCTGTCATCATAATTTGCGAAAAGCCCTATAAGAAGCCTATTTGTTTTGTTATTAATTAGATTTTGGGGTGCATTTTCCCTAAAACGCCAAAGGGACCATGAAAGAAAGCCTTTTTTATCAAGTCTAGGACGGTGCAGGAAAAACATGACAGAGCAGGATCAGGTATTGTAAACAAAAACTGAAAGGAGAAGAGAGCAGACATTGGCATTCACTGGTATTCTCTTGGAGACAAAAGCAAAAGCTTCATCTTAATGAAAATGAATGTGAAATCACACACATTACCAGTATGCAGGAAACAAAGCACACAATTTTAAACCAAGCACTCTTGGGTGAAAAATTAGCTGGAAGGCAACTATATGTTTCTGACACTGGTAATTAATCTGTGCATTATTATTATGATTATTATTATTGTTAAATGAAGGCATTTCTTACTTTCTTTTAGTTACATATTTCAGAAAATAGAGAGGGGGCGTATGAGGGACCATAACATAACCATATATGGCAAAAGACAAACACAGGCCAGGAATTTATGATAGTTAAAAAAAAGAAAAGGAAGAGCAGAGGATATAAAATCTTTCACATTGTAAAACAATGTAAAAAAAAAAAAAAAAAGGACTTATTTTGACATGGCATGGTGTACATCATGGGAAAAAAATGGAAGCTTGACATGCAAGCAGGCAGTGCCCTTTTTTGGTGATGGTGGGGTTTTTTTTTCCTTCAATAAATCAATGATATTGGTCACCCTTTACATCTGTCTGTCTGCTTTACAAATATTTAGCTAATGAAAGGTATTAAAAAGAGCTTGTGACTAAATCTTGTTGGATCCGCTCAAACTGTCAGTAAACCTCATAACTCCACCCCCTCTATCTTAACTGAATGAACTGAAGTTCCACAGCAGCTGAACTAGGGCTGCAGGGGTAAATAAAGATCTTGTTGTTTGAATAAGTACAGCGTTTTCTTTACGCAAGAAACACTATGTCTATAAAGGCTCATAATTTATGTTTTTGAAACTGAGCACCGCGCCCATATAGCTACAACAAACACCTGGGGCAAGTTCAAGCTCAAACGGTGTGCACCGTTTTGCTACGGTTTCAGGTTTGAACGACATGTTTCCTGGAAACGTTTTGCACCATTTTTGTCGGGGCTGAACGCAGCCCTGGTGATGAAAACGTAACGCCGCCATTTTAATGATGGACAAAATGCACATTTGCACACATTCGCTGGTCAAAAACCCCTTAACTGCATTTGAGTTTGACACAAAGCGATTGAGCGATCCTCGTCACCTAAGTAAAATATATTTCTAAGAAATGTATGATTGCTGATACACTTAATTTATTGACATTTAATCATATTATATGGTCGCATGGCTAATTCATGTTTAAGCTGTTAATGCATGTATTCTAGCTAGCTAATTTTTTTTATGAG